AAAATCAATCACCTATCTATTCGAGAAGAAGATAAGACATTTTTTTTTTCTTCTGATTCAGCAAGAGTAGAAAATTTATTTAAATATTTTTGATACTGAGAGAATTTAGCATAGTTGTTATCTAAAATTATAACAGTTCTTTCAGAAAATGAGCTAGTAGTAACAACAAAAATATTAGCTGTTTGTGTTCTTCGATTGCGATTTTACAATTTCTTATAGTATCGCTTTATATGTCTTCATTCATGACAGTAGTAGCAGACAATATTACTACTCATTTTAATTGAAGAATTAAGATGTCACTAAAAACACCCAGACAAACAGCAATAAAAGATAGACGGAAAAACAACAACACTACAAATAAATCATAAATTCAAACGTAGACAGAGTATCTAGACCCACTTGAAAACCACTAGAAGCTCACGACCACCAGAGGAAAACCATGTGTCACTGCACGTGCCACCACTGGAAACCACGCATCGGCCATGCGCCACCGACGGAATACCATGCACGGCCACTAGAAGTCCCATGCGATGCTCCTTCAACCAGAAATCCCCACAGAGCCACAACACGACCAAATTTGGAACGGATCTTCGCAAAGTCGCGCTGAAAACCTATTGGAATCTAGCTTTCGCATGATCTAGCCGTCGCCTCGGCTTCCTCCTCTCTGGCCTTTTGGTTTCACACACAAACCGGTCAAGTAGCACCTTTGGTTCCATATGTGCACAGGGAGATTCGCACAACTATTTTATGTCGATCTGCCTCCTTCCGCGCACCCGATCTACCCTCTGTCGCAACTGTTGTGCGCTTGCCAATAGATCAGTCAAGTGACTCCATTTCGCACCGATCTGCCACCTTCCGTGCACCCGATCTGCCCTCTGTTGCGGTCGTCGCGTGCTTGCCAACAGGTCGGTCAAGCGACTCACCTGTGCGTGTCTAGTTGTTAGAGCTCGTCTGGAGTCGGCTCTGTCAATCGCGCGACTCATCTTCTCAGTGTCTGGTCGTTGGAGTTCATTTGGAATCCGCTCTGTCACTCTCTACTGGCACAAGAAATGGTCTAGTCTTGCTCTTTTTTAAACTCTATCTCTGATATCATGTAAAATAATAGAGAAATATAAAAAATATTTCTTGTATTTTATTCTAATGGGTCATAGATATATATACACAGAAGAAGAATATATATATGGTAACATAAACCATCCTGTTAATGTTAATATATATAGGAAATCATCTAATGATTACGTGAGAATATTTTGTAATATATTCTACAACATTGTAACACTTTTCAGATAAACTAAAATCAAAGCCAATAGAATGAGGGAGATAAGCTTTTCCTCGGATTTGTGGACCCCAATGCCAGCCCAAGCCATAATTCATCTGCAATTTAATTAATGCCAGCTCAGACAGTTTAGACATAGAGAGCTCCCATAACTTTCTTGCCTTTG